TGTCCAATGTCACCCTGGGTTACAACATCTATGACAATTATTTCAGTGCACAAATGACTTCAGAGGCTTTGCTGGACCTGCTTTCAGAGGGGGAGGCCAATGTCCCCAACTACAGCTGTGGAAGGCAGAGAAACACAGTAGCCATTCTTTTTTTAAAAAAAAAAAAACTAATTTTATTGGTTTTCCAAAACAATACACAGACAAACAAAACATAAAATATAATGACATAAGAATTTTTTTCCTAAAAAAAACAATACAACATCTTATTTAAAGACAGAATTATTCCAAGTTATCATTGTTTCCAAACAAGCACAATTTGATATATATATTTACCTTATCTCTTCATCTTCATATCTTATCCCAAACTTCTCTTTATTACTTCCTTTCCTTCTATTTATTCAAATTATATCTCTTTAACTTTAGATTGTATACATTTTTTATATCCATCTGTCTTATACATTTTCATTATTCTCTTCCAATACAAAAACAAACAAGACATAAAACATAAAACATCTTTTCTGAAAGTTGCTTGAACCCGGGTTAAAACTCATCGTACAGATGCCCCTTCAAAAATCATGTTCCTTTTATATATCATTCCATATCTTATTACCGTTTTCCATTTTCTATATAGCTTCTTCCTTTTTTTAACTCTCTTAGTTTTATTCTACTTATCTCAGTTCAAGTCGTAATACTTAACATTCTTTGTCTGTTTTCAACTATCCATTCATTTTTTCTCTTTAAACAAAACCTCTCCTGTACACTAATTGGAGTATGACGCCTTTAACTCTTTCCCCTAACCTAATAATACTTAATATCACACATAACTTGTATTGGGATTCTGTTTAGCACATCCTAAAATCACACAGTATATTATATAAAGAGAAAAAGAAAAAAGAAAGAACGGCAATAACAAAGAAACAAATTTATAAGTATATAATATAGCTAGTACCCCTGTCAAAACCATTTTAATCATACCTATTGATACTTATTTATATCTTAAACATTTTATTCTAAAAATGCCTATAATAACACAATCTTATGTACCTTACAGAATCCCTTTTTCAATTAAATTTACCCATTGTCTCTAAATAAATTTTGTTTCTTTAAATCTTGCTTCCCATCATTGAGACTTCTCACCCCTTCCTTTCTCCCTTGCTTATTCTTTTCCTTACCCTTTTCACCCCTTTGTCTCTCCACCTCCCTTTTCTTCTTCTGCTTTCCCCCTTCCTGTTGTTTCCTAATCTTATATCCACCCTTCAACTCATTTTTATCTTTTTTGGTTGTTTTTTTAGGTTTTAAAATCCCTTTTTCCTTTTCCTCTTCCTTCTTCTCCCCCAATAGAATCACATGTTCATCAAAAATAGTTTTTTCTTTGTCCCAATTATCCTGCTGCGCAATCAATTCTCCATAGGAATGCACCGCCATTTCTAGAGATTGAAAAAGAATGTCCAAGGTATCTTTCCAGTCTTGTTCTTCCTTTTTATATTTTAGATATTCAGTTTTAGATTCATCCAAGGGTGATGCCATTATAAAGAGGAATTTTTTTCCCAAAACAACCACCCGAGTGTTTTTAAACAAAGAAAAAAAAGTTTCCCAAAAGATGCAAAGTCACCAAACAATCCAGATAGACTTTCATTTAGCACTTTTTCCCTTCTTCCATTTTTTTTCCTGGGGTTGCTATTAAATCACAAAATTCCAATTAAAATATGTCTTTTTGAAGTCTTATTAATGTTCAAATGGCTCTTAAAATTCTAGGCAGTCTGCTCCTTATTTTCAACTTCTACTTCAATTTTTTTCCTCTCCCTTCCCACTCACAGCAAAAGAAAAAATTTTCTTTAAATATTTTGAAATCCATATCCCTTTGGCATTAGCATAGTCTTTAGCATTTAGCATACCTTCAATGCGGGTTTTCCGATTTCTCTCAAAGCTGTTCCGTTTGGAAGGAGAGTGAAAAGAAAAAAAGTTTTCCCTTTAATATCCATTCGCTGCTTACTCAGTCTGGGAACAATGTGTCTTTAGTAGGTGTTAAATACCAGGATACTTTCACTGTTCCTTTGTCCTGGTCAGCAAAATCACTTTCATTTCTTCACAAACTCCTCCAGCACTTCCTTTTCCCAGCTGAGCTCTTCTAAGTGGTGGCCATTAGAGACCGCCGCTCAGCTGCCATCGGAAAGGGAGATTTAGCCAGCTAGGGAAGAGAGATGCGATGTCTCTCGTCCCTGCCAGAACCCCCCAGTCTTCACCACCTTCTACAAAGGTGGCTTAGCCCCAAAGCCAAATGGCTCGGGGCACTCAGGCAGTGAACACAGGCAGAAACCATGCACAGTCACGGATTCCTGCCTGCACCAAAGCACCACAAGCCGGAAGTGTCAGAAACACAGTAGCCATTCTTGAAGAGGTTGATACCGACATCTCCATCCAGATTTCAACGCTATTAAGCACCCACAAAATCCCACAAGTGTGTCTTAGCTAAAAAGATGCATTTTTAGTCATGCAACATCCAGGCTCTTTTACATCTTCTATTCCAAAAAAAGAGCAAAGTTCTAGTATAAAAGGTAATATTTCCCTTCGCACATACATTCTAGTCATTTCTGGCCCCTAGGGGGTGGTGCTCATCTCCGTTACAAAGCTGAAGAGCCAGCACTGTCCAAAGACATATCCATGGTCATGTGACCGGCATAACTAAATGCTGAAGGTGCATGGAATGCTGTTACCTCCCCACCAAAGTGGTCCCTATTTTTCTCCTTACATTTTTACATGCTTTTGAAATGGTAGTTTGGCAGGAGCTGGGACAAGTAACGGAAGCTGACTCTGTTACGTAGTGCTAGGGATTTGAACCACCGAACTGCCAACTTTTCTTTTTGACAAGTTCAGCGCCATAGCCACTGAGCCAGCATGTCCCTTTCTAATATTGGAATTGTATAAAGTAAGGATGAACGTTCTATCGAATGGGAGACAAGAATCTGAGCAGACATATATCCCCTGCATGGCATTCTTAATACAGATTTTGCATGTCTACTGGCCATTTGCAAGAACAAATTGCTACACTGAAGCGAGAAGAGAAGCAATGTAAAATCAAAATGACCAGGGAATTCCTACAAAAGTTCCTTTATTGCATGGAGTGGACAATTCCTCCATTAGGTCTAGATTTTTGGTTTTATCTGTCTCCAATAAAATAAACTTTCCTTTCCTTTTTAGATCAGTTATAGTTTTATCTCCCAGATTCTGAGTGATAAAACTCAGGTTCCTTTCTTCTACCCAATGCTCCCTGCCGAAGGAATCCAGAACCCAGGGATGGTGAAGTTAGTCCTCCATTTCAGATGGACCTTGGTGGGTCTCCTTGCTCCAGACACTGAGAACGGACAAAGGTTCATGAAGACACTGTCTTCCATGCTGATAAAGAATGGCATTTGCCCAGTTTTATCACAAACCTTTCCCCCAGATCTTCAAAAAGTATTCATAGACATATATCTATACCAAAATTGGAGAAAGGTGAAGGTCTTTTTTTATGGCGCAGACATGAATACATTCAATATAGGGTTTGTAATTATGGATCATATATTTGAACGTCTTACTGAAGCTCTTAGAGGAAAACTCCTGATCACCACAACCCGTTGGGACTTCATGTCCAGTATTTACTGGGCCGGCGATTACTTTCCCACTCAAGGCATCCATAGTATCTTTTCCTTTCTTATGAAGAAAAATCAAATCATAAAGTATGATGGATATCTGTTGTTGGATTCCACCATGGAAGTCCTTGCAAAAAACTCTTTCCTGTGTTCTTACACTAAGGATGCCTTTTCGGTGAAAGTCTGGAGACGGTGCAGGGAGAGAGAAGAACTGGAGGTTCTGAGGAAAGAAGAGATGGATCCGATCCTGGCTCTGGACAGCTATTTCATTTACAACACAATCTGGGCTGTGGCAAGGGCCGTCAATGCCGCTTATTTATCCAGATCCAGGAGGACAACATATAAAGGGGGTCCAAATGTGAAAAATCAAATGCTGAAACCATGGCAGGTATTTCTTCTCTATCGCACATCTCTCCAAGGCAGCTGAGAATCATTTTCATAATTGTAGAAACTGTGTAATGATTCTGATGGCTAGTAATAACTTATTTTGAAAATAAAATTAAAATTTCTATTGTTCTCCTTTTTGCATTTGTTTCACCCTGCTTATTTCCTTTGTAATTAAAAGATTCATTTTTAATAGCTTCTTGGTAAATCTATTGTTCGGCCTCCACCTCTTTGTTCTTGGACTCTTTTCTTTACAAGCAGGAGCATTTCTGTGCCCCACACACATAGTCTAAGAAAGTGTGATGTGCATATTAAGCAGCCAAAAACTTGTCTCAAAGTACCAAGGGTGCTTTTTCAAGGGGCAACTGGACTTTCTTGTTTTTCTTTGAAGATGTTTAGCTTCTTCTCCAAGAAGCTTCTTCAACTCTGACTGGATGATGGGAATGGAAGGATTTCTATTCTTTACATATAGCTAGTCATTTGCATTATTTCAGAGAGTCATTGAGTCCACTTGGAGATTACCTAAGCATGCTGAAGCTTGGTCAGAATGCGAAGTTTAGAAGGAGCAACATTGAAGACTGTTACATTAAATAACAAGATAAATAGCATTTAAAAAACAGTTGCTAGAATTGTGTATGTCTAGTATGACAAAAAGAAAGGGATGACCTGATAGCAGTGTTCCAATTTCTCAGGGGTTGCCACAAAGAAGAGGGAGTCAAGCTATTCTCCAAAGCACTTGAGAACAGGACAAAAAGCAATGGGTGGAAACTAATCAAGGAGAGGAGCAACTTAGAACTAAGGAGAAATTTCCTGACAATTAGAACAATTAATCAGTGGAATAACTTGCCTCCAGAAATTGTAAATGCTCCAACACTGGAAGTTTTTAGGAAGAGTTTGGATAACCATTTGTCTGAAATGTTATAGAGCTTCCTGCCTAAACAGGGGGTTGGACTAGAAGACCTCCAAGGTCCCTTCCCACTCTTCTCTTCTCCATGCCAAGTGGTGCATTTATCACCTCAACTGCAGAGGTTCATAAGCACAACCTGCTAGTAGAGCAAAGGCCACATTGTCATCCCCAAAGTGAGCAAAACATTTTCTCCTCCTGTCTGCCCATTGACCAATTGTTAACAGGATTGTTTCTGTGTGGGAGCTTTGATTTAATTTTGGCTTCACTGGCAAAACTCCTTCAGAATGCTTGTGCATATCCATTTCCTTCAGAGTTTTTAATTTCACATCATCAGCTCATCCATTGGTTTTGCAACTCTGCAGTGACAATTATGAAAGGGAAGAGGTGGCCTCTGTTCACCAACCTTTTCATTTTGCTTCCTTTTAACAAGAGTTTTATTCTATATTCCTCAGTACGGATTCTTCATTCCAGCTCAAATGTAGACGGCTTTCCAGAGAACTTTCTGATTCTATGTAAGATTGCTCATTTTCTCTTCCATTCCAGCTTCATCGTTTCCTTCAAACCTCTCAGTTTTATAATAATTGTATTGATGGGGTATATTTGAATGAGAATGGATTGCTGGTAGCAGACCTGGACATTGTGAACTGGATGATTTTCTCCAATATGTCTGTTAGCAAAGTGACTGTCGGGAGTCTAGAAAGGCAGGGATCCTTGGATTTCAAGTTGGTGATCAAGCCGAATGCTACTGCAAAGATGGAAATGCTAAACAAGGTGGGGAAAAGACTTTATTCTATCCTTTCTGAAGGTCTTACCAAGAGGATTGCAGAGTTGGGGCAGGGATGTCACCTCAGTTCTCTGAGAGGTAACCTATGCATTGGTTACATGTTCAGGGGTCTGAGAAAAATATCCTTAATGATTCCAGTTAAGTGTCTATCAGTTATCTGCGAGGAAGCAAGATTTAAATCATTGGGCAACATGAATCGTTTTACCAAAGCAGAAAATCCATCCAACTTTACCTTGATTGTGTACATTGAAAAAGTACACTATAAAAACATGAGATTCTAGAAAGAATGCAGAGAAGAGGAACAAAAAGATTAGGGGATTGGAGGCTCAAGCATGTGAGCAACAGTTTTGGGAACTGAGAATGTCTAGTCTAACAAAAAGAAGGACTAGGGGTGACATGATAGAAGTCTCCCAATATTTGAGGTGCTGTCACAAAGAAAGTGTCGTCCTAATCTCTAAAACAGAGGGCAAGGCAAGAAGTAACAGATGAAAACTTATCAAAGTGAAACGAAGCTAAAATTAAGAAGAAATTTACCGTCAGTAAGAACACTCAATCAGTGGAACAGCTTGCCTCTAGAAGCTATATGGGTGCTCCACACAGGAGGTTTTCAGGAAGAAATTGGATAGCCATTTATCCAGAATGGTATAAAATCTCCTGCTTGAGCAGGGGTCTGGACTAGAAGACCTCCAAAGTACCTTCCAACTTTGTTATTCTGTATTCTGTAAAAATTGTGTGTGAGAATTGATAGAAAGGAGGATAAATAGGCAACAAGCAGCCAAATAGCCAAATCAGTTGGATGCGCTCCAAGGTTTGTTTTTTTTTAAGGCTTCAAATTGAGCACAGCTAAGCCTTGGAGATCCCCAACTTTTCTTTTTACCTTTTAAAGAAATACAATAAATCATGTTGTGGATGTTATTTCTTTCTGTCTCTGCCCAGCCCCTGCCTCCTTCCAGGTGTGTGGAAAACTGTCCTCCTGGATTCATGAAGGTGGCTCAGGAAGGGAAGCCCATCTGCTGTTACAATTGTCATCCATGTGCAGAAGGAACCATCTCCACCATGGAAGGTAGGTGATGGCAGGAGAAAGTATTTGGGGGGAGAACAATGACCCTGACATTTTCCATGAGCATGCATTTTTGAAGACTTGGCCAGTGGGACTCATCCCTTTGAATCTTGATCAAAGATGCATTTATTTCATACTGATTTATAAGACACTAGCCCAATACCTGTACTTTGCTACAAACTAGGTGCTCAGGCTTAGCATTTGGGGAGGAAAATAAGGGGAAAAAACTCTGCCTCTGCCTACCAGCATTCAATGTTATTCATCTGGCTAGTGTCCTGTCAGTGTGTGAGAGAGTTGAGGGCTGTTTGGAAATTGAAATAGTATTTGATGTGAGAGCAAGAAGGAGACAGCAAGAAGCCTGGGCATGGCTTAGCTCAACTGTTCTGTACTAAAGCTCTTGGTGCTTTGAAACTGAACCTGAAACTCCTCTCCTCTGCTTGTGTTTTGCATTTGAAACAGATTTCTTTTCAGGTGGTGAGAGAGAATAGAGATCCTTAGCATCAGAGCGTGTTAATAATAATATAGGAAATACTAATGCTCTGATGGTCATTTTGAAAAAGCCTTTCCTAGTTAGCACCTAGAAACCAAGGAGAACATTCATGCCAAATTTCAAGTTTGTAGGCTTTATGGTTCTTTAGATTTTGTGGTGATGCATGCGTGGTATTTCACTGATATATTATCTTGGAGGTTAATCTGGTATTCTGGTCAAGTAAACTGGGTTACAGGAAAAGTTAAGGGTTGAGTACTATGAGAAAGACGATATCTCTTGTTCTTCATCTTTTACCTCACATCTTCCATGTTTCATATTACTGTTTGCCTTATTGCTCTGTATAGTGAGTTTTTTTTCTGATTCCAGTGTATATTGTTTGAACCTTGATTGGATCTTTGGAAGAGGTTTGATCAGATTGTCCCAATATCCCTCTTTGATGGGAACCATTTTTATGGGCAGCCACAATTAGAGTTTCCAATTTCCTCACAACCCAAGAGTCACAAAACTATCTTGGCTGCTTCCAGACACTAATGAAATCTCTCTGTGCATCTTCCATTCTCTACTTCTTGCTATGATCACAAGCCAGATTAAAGCACCCACACATGAACTAAATTAGCAAATCAGAATAGAGCTGGATGCATTTTATTAAAGGACATGTTAAAGGGAGATCCTACTCTTGCTCTTTTTCAGATGCAGAAAAATGTACCCAATGTCCAGAAGACCAACATCCAAACATCAGTCGAGTTCACTGTAATCCCAAGATGCAAAGCTATCTTTCTTATAAGGAAAATCTGGGGATTATCCTGACTGCCATTGCCTCATTCCTCTCTTTAATGACAGGCTTTGGCTTGTGGATCTTCATTAAATTTCTGGAAACACCAGTTGTCAAAGCCAACAACCGGGACCTCTCCTACATTCTCCTGATCTCTGTCCTGCTTTCCATCTTGACTTCCTTCCTATTCATTGGCCGGCCAAGGAGAGTGACCTGCCTCCTCCGACAAACAGCCTTCAGCATTATATTTTCAATTGCCATTTCTTCAATCTTGGCCAAAACGATCATGGTGGTGTTAGCCTTCTTGGCCACAAAACCAGGGAATAAAGTGCAGAGATGGCTGGGGAAGAAATTGGCCAACTCCATTGTCCTTTCTTGTTCTAGCCTCCAAGTTATCATCTGCAGCATCTGGTTGGGAACGTTCCCCCCATTCCCTGACTCTGACATGCATTCTCAACCTAAAGAGATCATCCTACAATGCAATCAAGGCTCTGTCTCCATGTTTTATGTTGCCCTCGGGTACATGGGCTTACTCTCTGCTGTCTGCTTCACCGTGGCTTTCCTGGCCAGGAATCTCCCTGGGGCCTTCAATGAAGCCAAGCTGATCTCCTTCAGCATGCTGGTCTTCTGCAGTGTCTGGGTGTCCTTTGTGCCAGCCTATCTGAGCACCAAAGGGAAATACACGGTGGCTGTGCAGGTCTTTTTTATTTTAGCATCCAGCGCTGGCCTGCTGGTCTGCATCTTCAGCCCCAAATGTTACATTATCATTTTTAGACCAGATCTGAATACCAAAGAATATTTGATGTCAAAATAAAATTAAAAATGACTTTTACAAATCTATTATTCTTTTCAAAAATGTCATTTAGTAAGCTTGATTAACAGGTTTTGATCATTTAATGTTTATTTGTTTATTAAAGTTAAATACTGCCCATCTTGGCTTGATGACTCTAGGCAGTTTACAATCAAGAAAAAGGAAGAAAGATTAAAAGAATAAATAGTGCCACTGACATTGGTTTAAAATTGACAAGTAAGGGAAGGCACAGAACAAGATGCACATGGAGAGGATGTATTCCTCCTATTCCTAAAGCTATTCCTATTTCTATTCCTCTACAGTCCTAAAGAAACCGATAACAATACCTGTTTAGTCACAATAGTGTGGGTGAAATCAGCTTCCAGATGAATGGGACTGTTTAGAAGGCAAATTGAGACTCTAAAGCCATGGTGGCGAACCTATGGCTCATCTGCCACAGGTGGCAAACAGACCCATTTGTGCAGGCATGCGAGCCCCAGGCAAACTTACTTCACTGCACGTGCATGCACCTCCCAGCTGGTCTTTGGGATACAAAAAGAAGACGTAGCTTTTCCCCAGCCCATCCCTCCTCTTGTGACCAGTCTGTCTTCAGCATACCAGAACTTGACCAGATGTTTTGAGTAATCTGAGATTTTTGAGGGGTAATCTGCATATTCCTCAGGGTGCCCTACCATGGGATGCAGGTACAAATAGGATCCGTCTGCTCTGGTCCTTGTCACCTGTCATTTCACCTTCCCAATTTCTTATCACATACATACATAGCTTTATTGCTCTTTCATCCTTCCTCCCCTTCCCCCTTTCATCCTTCCTGCTTCTTCTTTTTATGGTAGGATACCTGTGTTGTCCCCAATTCAGGTCTGAGCCTGGTGCCAAAGCCAATGATAGGTGCCAGACACGAGGTGCAAGTTTTCTGATTGCTTTTTATTGGAGTACTCCAAGGAAAAGGGCTCCTGGTCAAAATGCCAAGGGCCAAGAACAAAGGATTGAATAAGTTTTATACATTTTCACTAAAGGAGAAGGTGGAACAAAGTGAGATAATAAGAAATAACATCTAATAAACATTTTAGTAATAATTCTACAATTTGTTCTATTGGTCAAATTGCAGTTAGCGTTATTGGGATGCATTTCAATAGTAAAAATGAATATTTTGCCAAAATTGCTGTTCTTGTTTCAGACAGTGCCAGTCAAGTTGGAGAAGAACAACTTGTTCTATTGGTCTCTCTGTCCTTATACTTAGATCTTGGCTAATGAAATCCCTAGGAGTTATCTAAAATGCTACAGGGCATTCTCTATTTGTGACTTAGCTGAGGTATGCAGGTTGGAGAACTCGTATTACTTTTATCATCTTTCCAATTAGCCAGGATTGTTACAAGAGTTACATCTGCATATCTTCTGTGGATAAGGATTTTTTGTTCTTGCCAGGCAGATGTCACAATTACAGGATTCCTGATTTACTTTGAAGTGTTTGCGATGACCTGGTCTTATTTTAACAGATGGACCATCACCTGTGAGGCCCCTAAGCCGAGCCAGGCTGATCTGACCACAATCTCAGTTGTCAATCTTCAGAGGACTTTCTGAGAACTGACTTAAGAATTTAAGACGGGGGTCTGCAACCTTCAACACTCAACGAGTCATTGGATCCATTTCCACAGAAAAGAAAACACTGGGAGCTAATAATTTATCAACCGATGTGACTGGGTGGCCATGGCCAACTCAACATCGCTCACTCCCATCCAGTCACCTCCTGCTCTGGAATATGGAGTGAGTCTCCACCCCCCACCACTGGGCCTTACCTGCTCAGGCCAGGTGAGATGTGATGGGGAGGGGAGGGGCCAGCCAATGGTGGGGTCAGCTGACAGGGAGCTGCAGAAGAGGGCCAAAGGTACCACATGTGGCTCCAGAGCTACAGCTTGCAGACCCCTGATTTAAGAGAACTTTTTCTTAGATTGAGGTGTGGTAACCCCTTGATCAAAACCCCTTGGTTAGTCCATGTGCTAGTGTCAGGTTATTTGGTAGGCATTCCCTAACTAGGACCAAAATGGAAAATTGGGTGAATACACACTTAGATATTTTAGTCTTTGGAAAATGGACAACTTGCAGGGCCTTCAGCTTCTCCACTTTCTTAACGAGCCTATCTAGCTTCCGTACAGCCTCCACCATGGTGAGTTCCTCACTGCTGGGTGTTCAGGAAAAAGGGAAAAGG